TGTCTATATACTCTGAGGTAGCTTCTATGAAATCAGATTTGGACACTGGACAGTCAACAGCTTGCAGCAATTTCTTCAAGAACAATCCAAGCTGTAAATAAGGTAAAGATATCAATATCCTCACACCAAATAAGCATTGTTATTAATTTTATGCTCGAAAAGTAAGAATACGATGCCCACCTTGATTTCTTTAGAAACTAGAAGCGTTGAGAAGTCATTAACTACCTTGCTGAGGAAGGAATCAATCACCTACAATGACTGGGTGAGTCATGCATATCATCATATGGAATCACATACAACAAGAGTACAAACTTATTGCTGCTTGCTATGAAGAAATGTGAAGTGAAAATATGATAGATCTTACCTACCATTGCGTTCAAGGGAAACCCTTCGTCCATGTAATCTGTAAGATAAGCCTCGAGAATCCAAAGGCCGAAGCGATCGAAAAGGAATGTTAGAGCATTGGCTGTTTCGGATTCTTCAATGGAGGCCTTGTTAGAGAGCTGGATAAAGTCTCATAGCTGCTCATATTTCGATAATTCCAATTCTTCACCGGTTTCATCCTCAGGTCTTTCGATTGCAGAGCCTGTTAAGGCATGCGATAAATCGTTCGCTGAGGATTTGATCTTTACGGTTCCACCATACTTCCAATCCTCAACTCCACCTGCTTTCTTCCACTAATGATATCCTTTCAGACATAGAATGCAATCAACCACTTTATTTATTGAGCCACCCTGCACATTTTAATCAAGGTTTATAGCTCTGGTGTCAATGTGAATTACAGGTAAAGTGCAACATTTTAAAAAAAAATCGAAACCTTTTCCAAATCTGATACTCCAAAGGCCAGGAGCTGCTTATCTTTAACTGCGGCTAGAAAGTTCCTCATGTTCTCGGAAACCTGATTCGCGACCTCTTCCGTTAATTGATTAGAAGACAGAGAAGTTTTCACCACCTACATGTATTGTATTTTCAAAAATATCAAAGAATCACTATTCAGATTCTGATACCAAGTTCAAGGGAGAAATGATACTACTAGTTCAAGCACACTGTACCTTAGGAACAGCACCAGCACTGACTTTGTTGAGAACGTTGCAAAGAATGTACTAGTTGTAAAGTGCACGGCGAAATTCTTCGCCGGTGGGGTCTTTGGGAAGGAATTCTAATGCAACTTGATCCATCTGCCTTAGCCACTCTGCTGCTTGGTACCTCCTTGAAGCTGATCAACATAAAGCAATAATTTTAGCTACATTTTTCATTAAAAAAAAAACTGACCTACTTGGCTTTATGAGGGGCTTTTTCCATATCAGCCAAGGCCTTGACGGAACTGACGCTAGGATTGGCGCGCATCCATGGACCGTACTTCGGCAATGAAGGATCGGGAATGGACATCACAGTGTCCTTGACACAATGAGCATCTACATGGCCAACGCAGCCACATTTGTAGCAGAAATCTGCTAAATGCTCATACTTGAAAGAGACCCAAATATTAGATTTTCCAGCTCTGGATGCCCAAAACCCTGAAGGGAGTGACTTACTGACATCTATTAGTACCCGAATCCTGAAGAAACCCCTTCTTATTCCATGTGAAGAAATGGGATCCTCAATCTCCAACACCCTGCCGATCTGATCACCAACCTTTTTCGCATTCTTGGGGCTCATTTGGTCCAATGACAGGCCATGCACCTGTACCCAATAAGCCACTTGTGAAAAATCTAGCTCTTTGAGAGAAAGCCCCGGTTGCCACCGGTGCAGACATATGCAATAGCCCATCACTGACCATGGCCCTTCCTCCAAGATTTGCTCAGCTTCCCTTTCTTCTTTGAAGGTGAACAAGTAGGTGTTTTCGGATAGCTCGGTAACGGTTAATTCTCTCCACACTTGAAAACACCTTGAACACCCCCTTTGCTTAGTGGCTTGTCTGCTATGATTTTCCCCACTAGAGCTAACCTTCTTCCATCTAACTCCGCTGCCTCACTTTCATCAAGGGTCAAAACTTTCCCTTCTATCCAGGCCGTTTCAATAGCGTTATCGAATCAAAGAGAAATACGAGACGAAGACGAAGAATGTGATCATAAATCCATCCAACAATAGTTGCAACGTCCATTGCTTTACACCAATAATGACATTTATAGAATTGTTAGCTCCATAATTCTCCAACCATAATGTTTCCTGTAATAAACACTAGCAATCTAGAACAACCAGAAGCTGACAGTCACTGAAGAATAAATGGTTTACGGACATCAACATTAACGATTAAAATCACTAATCCTTCAATGGAAACAATTTGTTGATGACTTGGATTTTGTTATTTAACATACATGGACAGACTCTAATAATTGCTATACACACATTATTTAGGTTTTAAGGTACCCTGGGGTTCAAGGGTAGTTGTCAGTTATCCTTTTATACATAAAATTTTCATAGGCTCCATTGCAACCAATGACCTACTTTGTTGGGTTTTTCCTCTTTTATTCGTTCTGTTCCTGGTTGGATATTCTGTGGGGGAAAATGGCGTTTTCTCATGCAAGATTGCCTCTCAACCTAAGGAAAGAAAATATAATCTGATAAAAAAAATATAATATAATAAAAGTTTAAGTTTTTTTTAAGAGCATAAACATAATAAGCACACAAAATTTAGAAGGCTTAATACAAAAAATAAGTACTCGAATTATGTCTCGAAAAATTTTAGTGTCTAAAGAATTTTTCATTAAAAATAGGTGCTTAATGTTTTATCAGTTATACTTTTAAGTATCCGCCGTCTATTTTTTATTTTTAATAAAAATGTTATTTTTAATTAAAAATTAATTTATTTTAAAAAATCTTTTTTACTAAAATTATAAAAAAAACCCTAAAAACTAAAATCTCTCATTACCAACCACCGGCCATCTCCGACCATCATTGTCATCGTAAAACGGTCACCCACCCATTGCCAATCGTCGTCCTTACTGTGGAAAAACCTAAATCTAAAACCCCAAAATCCAAATCCCTAATTCCAATTTCAACTTCCTAACCCAAACGGTCGTCAACCATCATCGTCGTCGCGAACGGTTGAGTTTTGATGAAATTGCACGATGGTTCAAATAGTGTCAACGGTGTGACTTGTGGACGTTAGAATCGACCAAAATCCAGGAAAAACGAAGGCAATGGCTTAAAAATTGACGAAATTTTGAATGCTTCTCTACGATAAACAGTGGCATGTTACGACAAAAGGTCAACGAGGTTTGAGGGATCGACCGTGCTAATGGTGGTGGCGGTGATAGCCACTGTCGGCTGGCCAGCGACCTATTGAAGGGGATAAGGGGAAGGGGAGCACGGGGCTACTGATTGTTTTTTTAAAACAAAAAATATTTTTATTTTTTAATTTTAAAACAATCTCAAAATTGCCAGAACGTGACATGTGTCACTTAACGGATATTTAATGGCGGTTAACGTCCGGGCACCTAAAAATATAACGTTTGAAACATTAGACATACTTTTAGAAAAAATTTAGACACTAAAACGTTTTTCGATACATAATTTGAAATCTTATTTTGTATTAAGCCAAAGAAAAATGATCGAAGCGGTTTATAAACATAAATATCACATAGTACTAAAATATGATACATTTCAAAACTTGGTATATTTCAAAATATTTTTGTAAGATAAAATATTTTTCCGTATCCTACAAAAATATTTATGCATAAACTTCAATAATCGTAAAGACTATAATATAATTACATATCTTTAAAATAATTATCTCTCATAATTCTAAAGGCTAAGGTATACTACCTATTGAATGAACGTGATTATCAATTAACCTTCAATCAGTAAAATTACAACAAAATTCAACTTAATTTTTAATTAGAATTTGAGTTAATATCTAACGATATCTCCCCTGACACATTCTATTAGAAAATTAATTTTTGAATCTTCGACAACTTCTATTCTTACATAAATTACATATTCGTTAAAGCTTCATCATCAAGTATTCAACAACTTTAATTCTCATGTAATATTCATTAAAATATTGTTAGACCAATTGAAATTTACTCTTCTATGATTGAAAACTCATTTCAAAAACTACTCTTACATGTTTCCAATATCATTAATAAAATCCGCAACAACAAATTACTTTTAAATTACATAATTTGATTATAACTCTGAAATCATTTGATAAGATTTATAATTCGAAAAATAAAAAACGGGATTAACATAGAAAATATTACGTATAAATGTAAAATTTAACGTGGTTCGACATTATCTACCGCCCCTATAAATATAAAGAATATATTAAAAATATCTTATATATCTCAAAACTTGATATATATATATATACTTAAAATTAGTATACCCTAAATTATTCTTTCAATATTTCTTTAAAATAATTATCTCATAATTGTAAAGTTAAAACATACTCTTTATCTAAAATATTAAAAAATTATTTACATAAAATAATATATTTATCAAAGAATGTTTGAAATATAATACTTTTGAGTTGGGCGTATGCAAATAGTAAATTTAAGTATTTTATTTAAGAGTAAAATATGCAAATAGTCTCTGACTATAGAATATTACCTTATAATAAATCATTCGATTATTAAAAGTTATAAAATAATCATTTGATTATATTGTTTTGATGGGTCACCCGACTATTAAAAGTTATAAAATGGTCACCCGACTATTCATAATGTTCTATACTCGTCATTTTCCGTTAAAAACTGATGATTGTTTAAGTTGGACGTTAACATGATGATTGAGATATAATAATTATTTGAGATTTTATGATCAAATTTTATCATATCACATTCAACAAGTTAACATTTAATTCAAAATCGTTATTTTTTAACAAAAAAAATACGAATTCAAAACCTAATGAATAATTTAATAAAATAACATCTAATTAGATATCATTTACATTCTTTACCTTTTATTTAAATATATTATATAAAAGTACTAAAAAGGTAAGAAAAAAAGTACAGTATTTAATTAATTTATATGGGGAGTCTTAGGTCTCCCTCATTCTTAAACTGCATAAATACCTCGAAATTGACTCTCTCTTTCTCTCTCTTTCTCTCTCTTAGCAGTCTATTAAATCAGGTAATTTTATTCAATGATCCTCATTTTTTCTGCATTAACTTATCTCAATTCAATGTTAAATTGATTTTTGTTATTACTGGTTTCTTAGTTCTTTCCGAAGGTTTTAGATGTAGTTTTCATCAGTGATTTTCAAGGGAGTAGATAGAAAACTTACATTATTGGAGTATTATGTTATAATTGGGAGCTAAAACCCGTTCATTTCTTGGTAATTTTCACTTGAAATGGTGTTTGGGTATTGCTCTATTATCTTGTGTGAGAAATTGATTCACGTGGCAATACCAAAATGGCTGCGCTTGTTTTTCACTGTTTATTATTGACTGGAATTCCTTGAAAACATGATTTGTTGTGCTTAATTGTAGTAAGAAAGAGAGGAACTTTACTGGACTTCTTTTCCACCATCATTCTGCTTCCAAATGAATGTTCTGAAATGGGACTGGAATGTGGTTTGTTTTACTTGATTGAAGGTGATTTCTCATGTGTAAATATGGAGAGAACCTTGCTTCCCTGTGAAGTGAAGGGGGTTTGCTGCATTTATGAATTTTTTTCCTTCTCTGAAAGGAAAAGAAAAATATAATAAGATACGATTGAGTTAAGCCGGTATCCATGTTGGATTTAGCATCTATCTTACTTTTATGGTCTCATACACTTGTTTTCTCACTTGTAAGTTTTATGCACAGGTATTAGCATATGGGTTCTAGATCAGTCGAGGATATGATAGAGGCATCTTCTGGGGTCCACTTTTCTGGGTTCCATATGGAAGGTTTGAAGTCGAGAAATATTGATAAGCCTACAACCTCAGCGGGTGCTGAAAGTGTGCATAAACAACCTTTTGTTATTGGTAAGTTTGAGCAAGGGTTGTTAACCTATTACTCACACTTTGTTTTTGATGGAATATTGATTAAAAGTAGTTGGTGAAAATATTAGAATAAGAACGCTGAGAAAAAGGAAAAACACATGCTGGCTGCATGAGCTCCCCCCAACCCAATCCAAACAACAAATGATGGATCATTTAGTTTCACTGTGCTTGAGACACTCTCCTTGTGTATAATGTACTTTTCTTCAATTTGTTTGAATTATAGTTCAGAAACTACATACAGTTAGGAACTGAACTAGTACTTATTTGGTACTAGTTTTATACTTTTGTTATTACATTGGTTTCTTATATTATATTATGAGTTATTTTTCTTTCCGATTTCCATTTTTAACTAACCTGTCCTGTTATTTTGAGTTAGGAGTTGCTGGAGGAGCAGCATCTGGTAAGACTACAGTCTGCGATATGATTATTCAGCAACTTCATGATCAGCGTGTAGTATTAGTTAATCAGGTAAAAAAAAATTCTAAGTTACAAATCTGGATTTTGTTAAAAAATCTTCAAAGTAAACTTGTAAGTTTTAACTACATGAATTTTCAAAGTTGAGCGATTGAAGCTATGCAAGGTGTATGGAACTTGAAATGCAGTCTTCCCCTTCTCCTGTTCTGGAATTTATTTTCTACTTAATTTCGCTTTAAATTGAGTTTCTGAATGTTTCACTCGGTCTATTGGTTCTTTTGTTGACCTAGCTTGGTTTCTTCCTGTCTTAAATTGGTTCTGCATCAGCGGATTATGAATTTTTTGGTCATTATTCGTACATAGTAAACAGAGAGAGGGTTGGTTGTTGTCATTTGAATATCATTTTGGAAGGAAATTTTCAGCATTTTCATCTGAACTATTCTTTTCTGCACTGCTGAAAACAATTGGTCAGGTTTTGGTAACAGTTTTAACATGAACAATGTGCCAGGATTCCTTTTATCACAATCTGACCGAAGAGGAACTTGCTAGGGTTCATGAATACAACTTTGACCATCCTGGTGAGAATGTTTCTATACCAGAGATCCAAAATATTAAGAAAACGCTGACATGCTTAATTTCTGTGCTTATTATTCAACACAAACTCATACTGTATCTCTTCATCTTCACCTTATGTTCAACAGTGTTTTTTATGTTTTGTCTCGGTAACAAGGGTAATCCCTGAAGTTTGTCTTATTTTGAATTTTGAGGCATTTTCTATTATGCAAATCTGCTAAAATTTGAAATATTTAAAATGTTCTGAGAGAATTTGCCTATTATTAATGAGCAACCGTCCAACCGCATCTTTTCACCAATTGATCTTTAGGGGATGTGAATGTTTTATGCACAAGACATTTGATTTCACTTTATATTTGCTTTGAACTTTATTGACGCAGTGTTGCTCCTTTCTTCAGATGCATTTGACACAGAGAAATTATTAGATTCTATGGAGAACTTGAGGCATGACCGAGCAGTAGATATTCCAAACTATGATTTCAAGAGTTATAAAAGTAATATTTTTGCTTCTAGAAGGGTAAGGTCTCACAATGTTCAAATGCATGTTAAAATGACATGGACCCATGGTTATTATATCTTGGATATGGACACCTATTGGTTGAAGGGTTCCTCAAAATATTTTCTTTAACATGATACACTGACTCCAATTTTTAGATCATCTTTTACCTTCTTAAGTACATAAATTCAATTATAATTGTTCATATAAACAATGTCCTAGCTTTTAACGTCTTCTAATAAATGGTGGATGTAGAATCTACCCAAACTTATAATAGTAGGCATGTCTTTCACAGCCCTTAGTTAAGTACCTAGAATTCAATTATAATTTCAGGTCATATTTGTTGTTTTTGGACGTGTAGAAATTCAAGTGGTCATAATGTTTCTGCAGGTTAATCCTTCAGATGTTATAATTTTGGAAGGGATTCTCATTTTTCATGATCCTCGGGTCAGAGAGTTGATGAACATGAAAATATTTGTTGATTCAGGTTAAATATTTGAATTTTTTTCTCAGTTCTTTGGCTGACCACATCTGTTCGCACGTTGCATATATCTAGCATGTAATCTTTTTAAAAAAATTGTCACCTAAATTCTGTTGTAAACAATGAAATGTTGCTACCAAACTGGGCAGTTATTACACGTAAAATTTTCACTGCAGATGCTGATGTACGTCTGGCGAGAAGAATAAGGCGGGATACTGTTGAGATGGGCAGAGATATTGGTGCCGTCCTTGATCAGGTCCAACTATTATTCACCACTTACATGGGCGTGATAAATTTGTTTCCTCGATACAAGAAATATTAGGAACAATAATTTATTATCTTTTATATTATCATTCTCTAGTGTTTCAGCTTTCTCTTCTTTTTGAGGTGCTTATTTTTGGCCGATATTTATATGCATTTAAATTTTAATGCAGTATTCAAAATTTGTGAAGCCTGCTTTCGATGACTTTATACTTCCAACAAAAAAGTACGCAGATATTATCATTCCTCGTGGGGGAGATAATCATGTAGCAATTGATTTGATTGTGCAACATATAAGGACAAAGCTTGGCCAGCATGAACTCTGTAAAATTTACCCAAACTTATATGTCATTCTGTCAACTTTTCAGGTATGACATATTTGTTTTCTTCAATTAACTAAGGGTGTAATACTTTTTCTGCATGTATTGATCCCAATCGGCTACTTGAAAAAAATCCATATACATTTATTAAAAGAACATGATTTTTTTTATTATTTATGCAGATACGTGGCATGCATACCCTCATTCGTGATGCTCATACAACAAAACATGACTTCGTTTTTTACGCTGATCGGTTGATTCGTCTGGTGGCTATATTTTGGTTTAGATGCAATTTTGTCTTTGTTAATGTAATGGCACAAAAAATCCCTTTTGGTTTCTCAGTCATTTAAGATAATCTTTTCTAGGTTGTTGAACATGGGCTGGGGCATCTGCCTTTTACAGAAAAGCAAGTGATCACTCCAACTGGTAAGTGGATGTTACTATGTCTAGTTCTGAGCATTATGAAAAATATTATTTTTATTTTGGTTTATCACATCATTATTATGTTCTTTTTGCTGCATCGTTATTACGCTTTGTTAAGGTTTTGTCTGTCAGATAAGGTGGTATAAATTTGTTATCTGACATCATCTGGTTCTTAAGTTCTCCAGAATTGAATTTTCGACTTCCTAATAGAGTTTAGCATGGATGATTGCAAGTTGCTTCTGTAATGTTCTAAGTTGTCATGGTTCTTAAATTCATTTTCTTACCCAAAGCTACTTAGGTCATAATTATTACTATTGGTGCTATCGTGGATGCAGGGTCTGTATATACAGGTGTGGATTTCTGTAAAAGGTTATGTGGTGTTTCTGTTATTAGGAGGTATAACTCTGGTCTCAAATATTAGGCACTGGATCATTATTTCATGGCTTGCATGATTTTGAACTTTCTTGGGGATATTTGAAGGAGGTGTTTGTATTTCTAAAGAGCTAAATCATAGGAAGGGACGGTCAGAAATTGATCAGTGGTGACTTTGTTGGTGGAAAATTCATTACGTTGTCGTGATTTCATAAGAGTTAACCATACATACATTTTATATTCCATTTACATGCGAACTTAAAATTAATTCAGTCATAGTTTACTGTGGTTAAATGATTGTGATTTCTTTTCCGGTAGAATTTGAATCTGTCATGGTTATTAATTATTGATATATGTACCACATACTCACTCCATGCTTGAACATTTTAAACCATTAGACACTGATATCCTGAAACTAAACCAAACTTCTAGTGGTGAGAGTATGGAGAACGCTTTGCGAGCATGCTGCAAAGGTATAAAGATTGGCAAGATACTCATTCACAGGGAAGGTGACAATGGTCAGCAGGTTTGTACACTCAATTGCCTTCCAGATGCCAAAAGTTATGTTTTCTTTTCGTTTTTTTCTTTTTCTTTTTGCTTCTTTTCTCACTTCATTCATGCTTCAATGATTGAATAGCTTATTTATGAAAAATTACCGCAAGACATCTCAGAGAGGCATGTTTTGCTACTGGATCCTATCCTAGGCACAGGTTCGTTTCTGTTCATGGTTGATAACCATCTCCTGTTATTCATCCATGTTCTTCGGTTTCTCATTTTCGAGTACCATTTGGTTCACTTGCTTGATGACTTTAGTCACAGAGTCTAAGAGCCAGTAGCTTTTTCTGGACATTATTATTTAACTCAATGTTATAATCCTGTCGTTTAACATCAGGATAACTATTCTACAGGCAATTCAGCTGTTCAAGCTATTTCGTTACTCATAAAAAAGGGTGTACCCGAGTCCAACATCATATTTCTTAATCTCATATCTGTAAGTTATTGTTGGTACAAGCCGATTTGAATAGATTACTCTCTCTCTCTCTCTCACTCTCTCTCTCTCTCTCTCTCTCTCTCTCTCGTGACTCTTAAAATAATTTATATTTAATCACCAGGCACCTCAGGGTGTACATGTAGTGTGCAAAAGCTTCCCAAGAATAAAGATTGTGACATCTGAGATTGATATCGGTTTAAACGAAGATTTCCGTGTTGTCCCTGGTATGGGTGAGTTTGGTGACCGATATTTTGGGACGGATGATGATGATGATAACCAGCAAGTGGCAGCCTCAACGCAATTGTCCGGTCAGAGCAGCTGAACTTTCAAAACCCGGATGATGTATTGCTCAGCGGGATGATTCAGCTAAGCATGCTTTTTATCATAATGAGCTTGGAAACATTTTGACTTGATCAACCTAGAGTTCCCATGTTGAATTATCATCATCACTATTGTTTGCCTTATTCCCACCCAAAAAAAAAATCTTTGGAGTCGCGCACTGAGGCTGCCATTTGCATAATCTCTATCATCTGATGATATTACTTGAAAAGGGTGGACTCCCATAGAAAACTAGAGGCCAGAGGGGCCTGGGGAGTTGAGATGCAGGCACAAGTAGTTTTTATGAAAGCCTTGTTTCAAAAATAGTTTAAATATATATTTTAATACCATTTTTTTTATCTAAATACGAATTTTTGAGTCAAAATAGATACATGAAGTATTTACTTTTTTTCATCTAGGTACTAGTATTTTATTTAGGTCAACGTGAAGTATATGATCATTTTTGTCTTGGTACGTAAAAGTTGACACCGGTATTGATCAAAAAAAATATTTTAGATACCTAGATGAAAAAAGTGAATACTTTAGGTACTTTAATATATATATATATATATATATATATATATATATATATATTTTAGGCATTTATTTTTGAATTAAGCCTTTATAGAATGATAAATTACAATATATTGAATCGTGTATTTTTATAACCCGACTGTACTTGGTAGAGTTCAATATAATGAAAATCTGCACTTCTCACTTTACTCAATTCGCAAACCCTTTTAATTTAAGAAAAAATTAGGGTTAGTGTGATTCAGATATTTGCAGAAATTTCACTTTTCTTTTTTATGTATTCAGATATTCTAATTACTACACTGTTAACTTTCGGATATCCACCATCTGTGCTTGCTTTACTTTTGTAGATAATTATTTGGACTCGGAATTTATTACTCGAATTCGCTTTATTTTTGTAAATAATATATCCTGATTAAAATACATTTTTTTTTAAAAATTGTTGAACTGTGTTTTGATATTTTGATATATAAAAAATTAATATTTTTAAAGAAATTTTAAGATTATTTTCGATTCGATTTTCAAATTTATGTTCGATTCAATGATTTGAATATAAAAATTAAAAACTCTTTTTGAGGTCAAAAACTCCATTTGTACTCCTCATTCTTTAGAAAATTCAAGTCATTTATTGGAAATAACTTTCAAACATTTTTACAAAGGGTTTTGGATTTATATTGAGTTAAAAATCAATTTTTAATCATGCAGTATTGATACTGAAAGAACAACACTGATATTGTTTATATGGTATCGATACTAGTATCGATACAAATGACCTAAAATGTGAAGCAATATCGATACTTCTAAGAGAAGTATTGATACTTCATATATAAGGATCGATACTTAAAATGAGAGTACGAATACTCTTTTTACTTTTTTGACAAATGCAAATTCTAGTATATCATTTTAGTACTAATACTCCTATAGTATTGATACTCTCCTTCACGAGTATCGATACTCCCCTTTCCCTAACGGTTAGGATTTTTGTATTTAATGCAGGCAGTATCGATGCTCCAAGTACGAATATCGATACTCAAAGATTCTAATGAGATTTATTCCCCCTCTTGATTCTACATGGGATTTATTCCCCGTCTTGTTTTTGTATGGGATTTAATCACTGTCCAATTTTTGTATGGGATTTAATCCATGTTCTTATGCTATATGAGATTTAATCCCCATCTTGTTTCTGCTTGGGATCCTCTTCAGAGGGCTAGATCCTCATCATGAGTTATGTATTTTAACTTGGGTACCTCTTCAGAGGATAACGCCCTCATTCTGTTTATCCGCGGTGAAAGGTAAAGTTGTGTGCTATTGATGCTACATTATGACGATTAAATTCTAAATTACTGTTACACTTGTGTTGTATTATATATACTTCATATATGTTTTATTTTAGAGGACACACTGTGCTTCATAGCTCACTTTCTAGTTTTTGTGTTTTCAAATTACTTAGATCTTTAGGACTACGACCGGTACTTGGAGGATCGTTAGTAGCTCATTTTCTTTCAAACATCGTATGCATATTTTTAGACTTTATGTTATTTCCTTTTTCGTTAACTATATATACTTATTTATGGGAATTTGGGATGTTAAATTACTTTATTTGTTTTGTACTTTAAACTCGTAGTATATTATATATATTATGGATTCCTACTTCTGCTCATGGATTTTTACGATTTGCTTATGATGCATGTTAATATATTAGTTTTCTTGGTTTTTGTTCAACCGAAACATTGTTATGGTCTCCGAGATTCGGTAGTAACGTTCAAGTCAGGTTTAAGGGGTTACAGTTGACACGACCTTATTTATTAGTAGTTCAAGTTTATGTTGATGATATTATTTTGGATCTACTAATGATATTTTTTTACCAAGAATTTGCAAAGTTAATTCAAGATAAGTTTGAGATGAGCATGATGGAGGAGTTCTCATTCTTCTTGGTACTCCAAATCAAGTGTTGGGATTTTTTAGGCTCTATGGGCAACCGAAAATATAGCGAAGAGGGGGTGGATTGCATTTTAAAATTTAGGAATTGAGGAGAAATGATAAGGAAATTAGGCACAATGATTTAAAGTGGTTCGACTTCACAAATAAGTCTACATCTACTATCTTAGCTCACACTAAGGATTTTCTAACAAATTCACTAATTTGTTCTTTCTTTTTCTAAGCTCAAGAGTAACCTTTAACAATTTTTTAATTTCAATGGCTTTTATCTTGATGTAAACGAGAAAACCTCTAAAAGGTAGGTGTTTACAAATTAAGCTCTCCAAAAGGAAAAATAAGATTGAAAGAGCTTTTATCTTGATGTGGATTGTTTTGATAGGTGTTGTAACCTTCTTCAAGTCTCTTCGACTGATTTGTGTATGTTGGAATGAGTTTGTAGCCGTTGGAGACTTAATTGTTGAAAAATAAAACTGCCCAAAACAAGGAGTATCGGTACTTCTGTAATAACTTTTAAATAAAACTAGTCGTTAAAGACCATTAGGCTACAACAGTATCGATACTAGGGTTTTTGGTATCGATACCATTTTTGCTAACTATAATTTGAACACATTTGAAAACAACAAGCAATATCGATACTGCTATAAAAATATCGATACCTCTCTTACCTTTGGTATCAATACTACAAGAACAGTATCGAATTGTTCATGCGATATCGATACTGCTTCGATATTTTGATATACCAAAAATTAATATTTTTAAGAAAATCTAAGATTATTTTTATTCAATTTTCAATTTTATGTTCGATTCAATCGTTCGAATATAGAAACACTTTTTAAGGTCAAAAATCCATTTTTACTCTTTACTATTTTCAAAATTCAAGTTATATATTGGAAATAAATTTCAAACATTTTTACAAAGGGTTTTGGATTTTAATCGAGTCAAAATCAATTTTTAACCATGCTGTACCGATACTACAAGAACAGTAATGATACTGTTAATACGACATCAATACTAATATCTATACAAATGGCATAAAATGTGAAGCAATACCGGTACTTCTAAGAGAAGTACCGATACTTCCCTTATAAGTTTTGATACTTGAAATGAGAGTACCGATACTTTCTTTACGTTTTTGACAATTGCAAATTTGAGTATACCATTATAGTACCGATACTCCTATGAGTATCGATACTCCTTTTGTGAGTACCGAATACTCCTCTTTCCTCAATAGCTAGAACTTTTGTATTTAATGCAGGTAATATCGATACTCAAGGCTTCTGGGGCAACATTTATAAAATTTCTTCTCAAAGTCTCTATTAACTCTCACAAAAACCCAAACGGCTAGAATTGATTAAAGAGGTATAAAAACAAGATTTCAAGTCATATGCGAAGACAAAAGATCAAAGAGAAAGCCAAAGTAATCACATTGAGCCAAAATCAAAGTCAACATTCTTCAACATTCCTTTTGCTTTCAAATAACACTTTTGCACTCATTTGTTTTACTTGTCAAGCGATCTTATTTGTTCTTGAATTGTGCAAACAATTTTCTTGTGAGATGTTTCTAAGTTGACAAATTTGTAATTCTCTCTTTGAGAGACTGTCTCAAGAATTTGAGGTATAATTCTTAAGGGACTTGTAAGGTTACGCCTTGTCCTCAAAGGATGATACAAATTAATGAATCTGTGAAAATCCTTAGTGAATAGCTAAGGTAGTGGAGGTAGACTTTGATTTAGAAAGTCGAACCACTCTAAAATTCTTGTGTTCAATTTTTCATTTTTTTTCTTTTAGTTTTCGCCAAAATTTTTATTTGCCAATTCACTCCCCTCTTGGCTATTTCATCATTTCGATTGGCTCAACAAAATCATTGTAAATGGATTCGTTTGATGATATATAGCAGGGTTTTTTTTATTAAGATATATAGTTGATTAGGGATGCGTGAGTAGTTCGTGAATTGTTTTAACTTGATTCGGTCAAAGTTTGATTTTAATTGAGTTGATTTAAATTCGAGTCTGACTCAGAACCTTAATGAGTTGATTCGAGTAAGGTTCAACTCGACTATAAGTTTGTGAGGAATTTGTTAAAGTTATTTATCATTTTTTAGTTACCTTTAAAAGTTCCATTAAAATAAGAAAGTCTAATTAATATTATTAATTTGTTAAGAAGATGTTAAATTATTAATTTATTGATAAATAATAAAAAATATTAAAGTATTAATTAATAATTCATTAGATTTTACCTATAGTTAAAAAATAAGATAAATATTTTGGTGAACTTAATGAGTAACGAGTTATTTTAACAAGTATATGTCGAGTAAAATTTTATCAAACTTAACGAATACAAGTTAAACACTACTCAATTCATGATCGAATCATTTAATAAACACCCCTGGCTCTTATTCCATTTGTATTACATAAATATTTATTTAATTAGAATTAACAGAGGTTAGAGGAGAATAAAATAATATAAGCCATCGATCCTTGTCAAAACTGATACGTGTGTGTCATCTTCACGTAATATTATTGTCTTCTGAATATTGGCTTATAAACCAATATCATATGATAGAAAGTCGGAGACTAATTATGAACTTTTAAGACAAAAAGTTACTTCTAAGCTATTCTTAATCATTTAACTCCCGGGTCCTAATTATTTTATCATGAAAATAATTAGGGTAAACTACACCAGACACCACTAAATTTTAGTTGTTGTGTCGTTTATACTACTAAACTTTTAATTTTATCAATTATAACACTAAATTTTATTTTCATTACAATTATACCATTGGACTGTTAAATCATTAACAGTCGGATCA